TGAATATTTTCATGGACTTTTACTATTATTTCCAGCGTGTCAACTTTATACCCTCAAAATCGGGACTTGATTCAATATTTTTAGTAGCTAGGATATAGGTACGGATATAGACACTGTCCTTATTGAGTATGAATCAAATTGTGACTTTCTTTCTAACGTTATGGATTTTTTGAGATGAAGCTAAATGACCCCATTTGTTGTCAAAAGCGATAGAAAATATCGTTGAAAGCGGCATTCAAAAAATCGTCAAACGATTTTTTTTTAAATGAAGTCACTAAAAGATGTATCTTTTACAAATATTTTCCTTTAATTTCATATGCATTGAAGGGTCTTAAGGCAGTCAAATAAAAATAAGTACGCTCGATACTAACAGCACACGACAAGGAATAACACGGAAGTCAAGCGTGAATAATCAACAAGCATATATTTATCTGACATTGTGTGAAAAGCGCTTGCAGATCGAGTTATTCAAGACGAAGTTGTAGCCGTTTCAATGCGGCTAGGTGTGCCAGACCAAAACTACCCTGAGCCTCCCTTAAGATTATCGTATTCTGAATCTCTTAATTTAGCTTGAACAGCTTGAAGTATATTTCGAAACCGCCATATTTGGTGGGTTCGACATTGAAATCGTTCTCTCGAAAAGCACTGAGGATTGCAAAAAAAAAAAGCCATAAATTGCTATCTTTTAAGAAAAAAAATTATTTCCAACTGTTTTTTTTTTTTTATTTGTTTTTTCCTAGGTAAGCATATTGCGTTGGAAAGCGTATTAAGCTTAATTTTATATTCAACCGGCCGGTCTGCGTTTTGAATAATGAGCCGACCTTGCACGAACTCGACTAAACCTCCTGGTAAACCTTGTCTTAGAAGCTTAGTTATCGAGAGACTACAGTATTCAAAGAATGAATATCAATAAAGAAACAAATAAACACTCGAACCAAGTCATAAATACGCTTATTCGTTTTTTTAACTTGGTTGTTATGTAATAATATTTTGACTGCTTCGTTGCCTTATCCGCTTACATACAGATCGAAAATCTATCATTCACTTACTTTGGTAATATGAGTATAGCAACAAGGAGGATTGGAAGTAGTATTTCGAATACTGTTCCTACAGGCCTTCGTATCTGAAATAACAAGGGAAGGAAGAATATTTCAACCTTATTTCTATACGGTTGGAAAGCCAAACAACACCACAACATCTTTGATGAAATTAGTGCTTACTTACTTGTAGTATGAAGTTTTTCCACAGCAGAAGGCGAAATTGCCGAAAACGATTAGCCATTTTGCTAAGGGCTTTAGAAGATACCCAACGACTACTAGAATAAAATAGCGAGAGATACCAGTTTTTATTTACGATCGATCAACCTCCACTCTTACCTATTTGTTCCGTTTGATGGCCGGGCAACGACGATGAATTTTTTTCTAATGTCTGATTGGCTCAATTCCGTATATATGACGTCAATAGGTATGCTATGTATGACCTCATTGGCCCGAAATATCCAATATTGCCTGAATCTGACACAGTGACGTCAGAATACAAAGGACTCTTCAGGTAAAATTTWAAAAAAATTCATATAGCCTTTGAAAGGATATTATTTAAATTTTCAAACTACATTAACAATGTTATCTGCTGTCAAAATACTGTTGAATGCATCACAATGGCTTCAGCTGGCCTGCTTTCGCTCGGTTCTGATCGAGCTCTTTCTTAATTTGGGGCTCTGAAATGAACTATGACTCATCGTGTATCTATGACAGTGCGAAAACTCCAGCCAAGGTCACCTCGAAACATTTCCAACACATTATCCAATGATGTTTGAGTACTTAGACAATAGATTAGCGACAAAATTTGAATTTAGATATTTTTCCGTTTTTCGGATAGGCAAAACAAAATGATAAGAGCTAATTGTACGTTATAGACAATTTCTGATTTCACTTCTTCTTCTACCTTAATTTTTAGAACATGCAACCCGTAAAGTCCTCCACTGCTCATAAATGTAAAGCGAGACAATGTGAAATGCGCTATGTAACTGAGAACCCCATTAGTATTATTATTATATTATTATTATTAGACAGTCGAGCGTGAACATCATCAAGTCGGCAAATGGGTAGGAAAATCGGACAATACATACATCGACGTCAATCAGAGTATATGTAAAGGTACCGAACAATGTATTTGATTGACATTAGCCTATTGCCCGAATCTCCTATTACGAAGGAAGGAAGCAGAACGCTTTATTTCGGAACTTGCATTAAAACTATCTAAGAAGAAACAATTTGAGTACAACACATTAATCCATTGGCTCAGAGTAAAACTTTACATAAATTTTATAAGGTACGAGTACGAGGAACGACAACCATTAAGAAATTAAATTATGACATAGACAATGCACAAATTGTAAATAGTTTTTATAGAATTGAATAGTTCTTTATTACGAGAATTTATTTTCTTAGTCATATACATATACCAACCATTATTCGGGTGTCCAGTTTCTTTTATTTGATTTATTTATTGCTATTTATTTATTTATTTATTTATTTATTTATTTATTTA